GCCATTAAAACACTAACATGGGTTGTTTAAATGACCAAGTGACCATTAAAACACTAACATGGATTGTTTAAATGACTAAGTGGCCATTAAAACACTAATATGGATTGTTTAAATGACCAAGTGGCCATTAAAACACTAACATGGATTGTTTAAATGGCCAAGTGGCCATTAAAACTAGGGCATTAACTTAATATTAGCGTCAGCACAACCACTATTGCCAATTACCTCAAAGGCAGACTATGTCATTTAAAAAATTGCACAAGGAGCCTATTACAATGAATAGTAATGAGAACAAACAGAAAAGAGTTGAATAGGTTGGAAACTATGTTAGGAACATTACCAAACACATCACAAATGGTCATCAGATAGTTTGGTTAGATGAAACAAATTTCAATCTTTTTTGTAGAAAAACGCAAGAACGTCCCAAACAGGGAAAAAGAGCAATAAAGAAAATACCTTCTTTAAAAGGTGCAAACATACATTTGATTGCAGCTATATCAACAACAAATGTCGTCATGATGGAAACGCCGAGGGTATATTGGATGTTGGCTATAAACAGTGGGTCACATCCGAAATCGTTTAGAGGATTTGATCGTCGTAACAGACAATGCTTCATGTCACGCTTATTTGAAAATGGTGTTTAAAATTCACCGGCTCAATTGTTACGATTAGGACCTTACAGCCCAATATTAAGCCCAGTGGAAAATATCTGGTCCAAAATAAAAATAGACGTTAAAAATGTTATTCGCATTCCACCTGCATTCGGTGCTGTGATTATGAAACAATGAATGCAGTATTTAGAAAGAATTGTTACTGCGGCAATAATAGGAGGTGATTGTACACGCGCTGTACAAAATACGACCAAATTACGAAACGATTTTAAATATGTAAGACGTCCAAGTTGGTGCTTAGCTGAATATTGCAATGATTTTTAATGATGTAGTTTAAACTTAAATAAATTATTTGTGTTTTATTAATTATTCTTCTGAAATCACATTTAAATTTTTCACAAACAAAAATAAAAGAAAGTTTTAGTTGACACCCAATAGCATTTTTCCAATTACTAAACATAAAACGCCTTTTTCATGACTTTTATATTTGATTGATATTATTTCCAATCTTAAATTACAAAGTATATTAGGATTACAAAATTCAAAATACAAAGAACTTTGTATTCTTTATACTTTCCTTAATTACAATTATCATGAACTCAATTACATTTTACGATTTCTTATTTACAACATTCATTTTCTCAATAACATCTGACGTTTCTTAATCTTTTATCTTCTCAATTACATCTTACTTTTTTTAATTACAACATTCATCTTCTCAATTACATGTAAAGTTTTTTAAGTACAACTTTCACCTTCTCAATTACATCTTGTGATTTTAAACCAATGTGTAATTTTTAATGTGTTTACAATTTATACAATAAGCCGTAACACTATATACTATAGTGTAATTTTTAATATATTTTATACAGTTCTTCGTGTGAATACTTTACGTGAGTACTTTAGTCTCAAGAAATAGAAATGAGGATAAAAACTTCAAATTGTTAGAATACTATAATGTTATATATCATTGGAAAGAGGATCAATACAGTATTATAAAGATTTTTTTTTTTTTGTTATTCACCTCCTCAAGGCCGAGAAGGCCACTACAGACGAGGAGGCTACTTAATAGTGGTTATAACCCTCCCTCAACTCTATAACTCCGAAACACGAACCTTGACGAACAAGGCCGCTGCGCAGAGTAACAAAATGAAAAAGTTATCAAAATCCAACAATTTCTTTAAAAGTTATGACGGTTTAAATACCAACTTTTCGTTATAGGATTTTGTTGAAGAAACTGTGGTCAAAGTTATGTTTTTCATCACTTAAATTGTCATAACTTTGTCAATTTTTATCGAAATACAAATATCTTGGTTTCAAAAGATAGGCGTTTAAGTGGGCTACAAACTTGTGTTAAACTCTAATCACCGTGCGATCAGATGAACAGCGGGGGCACCAAACTACTACCTTACCCGTATAAAACTGAAAACTTTTTTCAGAAAAAAGTCTTTTTTTAGGATATTAGCAATATAAATATACAAAAAAGTTGTTATTTATACTAAACCACCAAAATATATGAGAGGTATATGTTAACATTAGAGGTGGGTGTGGTGGTGGCGGTTGGATAGACCCTAGTATCAAAAATGAATTAATTTTATAAATATTTATATCTTTACTAAAATGAGTAAAATTGTATACAATATAAAATTATTTTTAACAAAATTTTATGTATACAAGTGGTGTTTATATTAAGGGAGTGGCGTATGCCTTCCCCTCTCCATTTAATCTCAAAAAAAAATAACAACAATAAAACAATGCAGTTACTATTTTCAAAATTTAAATAATAAACTTAAAAAAATTTATAAATTGAAAAAAATAAATTCATACCAAAAGCCCTCTTATTATGGAAGATGTATGTAAAACTCATTATAGATATGATGATGATGTTTTAACACTATATTTCCAAAAATGTTTCAATCTGATTGGTTTTTTTAAGAACAGCAACAAAGAAGTATAACGTATATAGTAATTAAAACAAGATCGACCTTAATAAATCTTTTAATTTTTCATATAGTACTTGATAAAAGATTTGGTTCTGAAAGATGTTTCAAACTAAAAAACGAATAAAATGTTTAAACAAAAATAATGTTTGATTATTTTAATGTTTTATTGTTATATATAGTTTTGTCTTTTAGTAAATACAATAATAAATTTAAATTGTAATTACAATAATAAATTTCATTAATGAAATTATTTAGTTATCATTTTTAACAATAGACACCACGTAAAGGTCAGCCAGAGCCGTATTCAAAAGTTTCAAGTCAAGGCACATGCGTTGAGTTTTTGCAAGTCACAGCACTTGCGATGAGCTTTTGCAACTTTTAGGGAGTCAAATCAATAAAACTGTAATTCTCCAGAGACAACATCTGCAGCAAATTAGATCTTTTTCATACATCTGCAGCAAATTAGATCTTTTTCATACATCTGCAGCAAATTAGATCTTTTTCATACATCTGCAGCAAATTAGATCTTTTTCATACATCTGCAGCAAATTTTGATCTTTTTCATACAATATTCAACAGCCTCAATATCAGTTTCATCATCTTTCCAGTAAGAAAAGGTTGAAATTTTTTTTTTCAACTCAAGCTTTCAACAAGAACAGACGCACTTTTTGCCTCGTAGCGAAAAAAAAAAAAAAAAAAACTTCTTATTTATTATAAATAAAGACGTATCTTTAATAAAAAATTTTAACTTAATAATATGGCTGTAACACTTCCAGAAATAAAGAAACTTTTAAAAGAAATGTTCAAAGAATTTAAAAAGGAAACGGAAGAAATGTTTCAAAAGCAAGAAAAAGCGGTCCTCGATATTATTGGCGAAAAATATTGATGGAAATGCAAATTGTATAAAAGAATTGACAAAAGAATTAGAAGATATAAAGGTAAGCCTTAATTTTAATGAAGAACTTATCGACGAAAAAATAGTTACTAACAACAAATACCTAGATAAAAAAATGGAACATACAAAGATAGATAATGTGTTTAAAGAAAAACAACGAAACTTAGAAGATCGATCACGCCGAAACAATCTTAGGATTGAAGGAATTTACGAGAATGATAAAGAATCATGGGGGGATACTGAAAAAAAAAGTCCAAACATTCTTCACCGAAAAACTTGGACTAAAAGATATTGAAATTGAAAGAGGTCACCGCACTGGACGAAAAAACGATGGACGACCAAGTACTATAATATTAAATCTTCAGAACTATAAAGACAAAATAAGAATATTGAAGGAATTGTATCGACTCAAAGGCACAAATACGTTCGTGAACGAAGATTTTTCTCGAGAAACCGTCGCTATTCGAAAAAAATTGTTCGCTGAAGTGAAACGCGATTGAATGGTGAAAGTGTTACGGTAAGGTATGAGAAAATTGTTTATATTAAAACTTCTTTTAAAAGCAATTTTAACGAATAATTTTATGGGCATTCCTAAAAAGAAATCTTAAATAAAATATATTAATCATGGCTATAAATGAAAATTTTGAATCTCGTGTTTTTAAAATTCAAAAAACAAATTACTCTACGTTAAATGAAAACTTAAATTCTGATAACAATATTTATCACAATAAATTTTCAGATTGTTCATATTACTTTCCTAGCCAACTAGAAGGGTTTCTTTTTAAGAATGAGCTTGAAAGAAATAATAATCAAATGTTAATTCTCCACCTCAATATAAGAAGCCTAAATAGCAATTTTGAAAAACTTTTAGACTTATTAGAAGAAACTAAACATGTTTTTAATATAATTTGTTTAACGTAAACTTGGACTTCTTTTGAAGACCTAAATAATTTTCATCTACCCAGCGCCGGCTTTTAGGGGGGGGGGGGGGCGAGGTCGTGCGTTGCACGAGGGCGGCAAGTAAATAGGGGCGGAGAATTTTATTAGTCACAAGTTTTAATTTTCCAGTAGTATATTAAAAATTTAAAGTAAATTAAAAGATTTAACGACCTTTGCAAAAAAAACACGATTTTAAATTTGAAGACAAAAAATTACTACATTTACTTAATTAACGCACGATTTTCTATTGTAATTTGAAGTATCATTTGTGGGTTATTTCCCCTAGGAGTCATTTCGAAAAGTTGCAAAAAATTTTTTATAAAGAAGTTCAAAATTTTTTATTTTTTGTTATTAAATGTTAAGTTGACTCGATTTAAACAATTTTCAGTAAGTTTAGTTACTTTTTTTTTTATTTCTTTAATAATTTTATGAATGTGTTTTGAGAACTTTGTTAATTTTTTTTTTTTTTTAAATGTAGAAATAATTTTATCTTAAAAAATATTCTGTCTCATGTCACATAAAATTTCAAATTCGAGAAAAAAGTTGTCTGGTTATGAGTACAGAAAAAGAAAGTCCGTTAAAGATCAAAAATTTGAAAAAATTAAAAAATTTATGAGCATTGAAAAATATGTTGCTTATAAAAAACCTGACGAAGGTCGTGAAGATTTTAACTCTGATGCTTCAACTATCTCTACGACTATGTCCAATAAAATTGGAGAACCTTCAACAATACTCAAAAATAGTTGTATAACTTCATTGCAAATTGAAGTTGATAATGAACCAGTTATTTTAAAAGAATCGAATGATTTATCGGAAGATTTTTTACAAGAAACACCTAATTTATTGGATTGTGGAAATTGGCCAATTGTTCGATCTAGCAACTTTGTGGACCATTTAATCAAACTTGGTCCTTTTCAAATTACAAAAGAAAAATACCCTGAAGATAGAAATGGTCGACATTTTTCTAGCATTTATTACAATAGAAAGCTTGCGAATGAAGAAACCTTTTGCCGTAGATGGTTGGTTTATTCAGATTCTAAAAACTCCGTATTTTGTTTTTGCTGTCTACTTTTTGATAATAATTCAAAGTCAAACTTAGTCTCTGATGGTTTCAAGAAATGGAGACATTTAACTGAAACATTGGGAATTCATGAAAACAGCGTCTCTCATATGAAATGTTATCAACAGTGGGTAGAAACTGAAATAAGATTAAAAACTGGAAAAACTATAGATAATGAAGAAATTAAAATTATAGAAAAAGACAGTTTGCGATGGCAAAATGTTCTTCTTCGGCTGATGAATATCACTCTTTACCTAGCTGAAAATAATATGGCTTTTCGAGGGAGTTCGGATAAATTGGTTACGCCTCAAAACGGCAAATTCTTAGGACTAATACAGGTGCTTGCAAAATTTGATCCTGTGATGCAAAAGCATTTAGCACTTGCAATAAAAGGTGACACTTCAGACCATTATTGCGGGAAAAATATTCAAAATGAGTTAATAGATTTAATGTCTCAAAAGGTTAATGATGTAATAATAAACCGAGTCTTGAAAGCCGTTTACTATTCAATCATTCCTGATTGTACACCTGATATTTCTAGAAAAGAACAACTTTCTCTTACTATTCGAATTGTTGACTTGTCATTAGACATTAGAGTGGAAATTAAAGAGTACTTTTTAGGATTCTTTTTTGTTTCTGATTCTACAGGCTTAGGACTTACTGAGGTTTTAATCGAGTTGCTAACTAAGCATGGACTTGAAATCTCTAACTGCAGAGGTCAAGGGTATGATAATGGATCAAATATGAAAGGAAAGAATAATGGTGTACAAAAAAGGATTTTAAATCTTAATCCTTTAGCATTATATGTTCCTTGCGGCAACCATAGCTTAAATTTGGTAATAAGTGACTCTGCATGGTCTTCAGTAAAATCTATAGTTTTTTTCGGTATTCTTCAGAGATTGTTTACTCTATTCTCAGCTTCAGTGAGCCGATGGAAAATTTTAATTGATCATGTTAGAATTTTGCATTTAAAGAAACTCTGTGACACGCGGTGGGAAGCAAAAATAAGTAGTGTTAAAGCCATTCGTTATCAAGTTGGTGATGTACATGACGCTTTGATAGCATTGTCAGAAATTGAAGGATGTAATCCTGAAACTGCACATGAAGCGATAACTCTAGGAGAGCAATTAAAAGATTTTAGCTTTCTTGTCTCTTTAATTGTCTGGTATGACGTTCTTTTTCAAGTCAATATTATTAGTAAAACTCTTCAAGAAAAAGACATGGACATCACTCAATCTGCAAAGTTATTGAAAAGCTGTTGTTCATTTTTAGAAAACTATAAAAAAATGTGGTTTTAAAGATGCAATTATAAAAGCAAAGGATTTGGCTATAGAATTACAAGTGGAGCCTGTTTTTAAACCACTTAAAAGAATAATACGAGTGAAACGCCATTTTGACGAACCAGCCCAAGATGGGATTTATTTATTTTCTCCTGAAAAAAAATTAGAAATCGATTTCTTCAATCCTCTTTTAGACACATCTTTAATTTCAATGAGAGAAAGATTTATACAGTTGGAGAATTATTCCGAAGTTTGGGGTTTTTTGTATAATGTTGATAGTTTGCAAAAAAGAGAAGAAATTCCAAAATCATGTTTATTTCTTCAAAGTAAACTTACCGTAAATCTAAAATCGGACATTAATGGTATTCTCCTTTGCGATGAACTGATGAGCATTAAACCTTTTCTTTCTGAAATGGTCAAGGATAAAATTACTCCTATTATTGTTTTAAACTTTATAAAACAACACAAAATGCAAGATTTGTATCCAAACACATGGATTGCAATGCGAATTTTGCTAACAATACCTGTCACTGTAGCGAGTGGAGAAAGAAGCTTTTCCAAAATGAAACTAATAAAAACCTATCTGCGGTCAACAATGTCGCAGGATAGACTTTCAAGTTTAGGAACCCTATCGATTGAAAAGAATATTGCTGAAAATCTTGATTTTTCAACCCTAATCAAAGATTTTGGTGATAAGAAGGCTCGTAAGATTAATTTAAAAAATTAAATGTATTTTGTGTAAAACAAAAACAAAAAATGTTTCTTTGTATGTAGCGTTTTATTGCAAAGTATTATTTTTGAATTCGATTTGTTATTATTTTCCATGTAATTTACCAGCACGTTTATAAAATTTTCAGGGGCGGCAGGACAAATTTTGCACGAGGGCGGCAAAAAGGCTAAGGCCGGCACTGCATCTACCTCATTTTAATACAATTTCAATGGAAAGGAAAACAAATAAGCGCGGTGGTGGAGTTTTAATTTATGTTCACGAAAATTTTGAGCGTTGTTTTAGGCATGATTTAAGCGTTTCTGACTGCGATAAAGAAATTGCAACTATAGAAATTATTAACTGCAACAAAAAAAAAAATTTACTAAGCTGTTGTTATCGGCCACCTGATGGCGTAAGCGAAAACTTTAGCATGTTTTTACAACAAATTATTAAAAAATGTACCGTTGAAAAAAAACAAAATTTTATAATTTGAGATTTAAACATGAATTGTTTTCTTTATAATGATAACCTTAAAGTTAAGAGTTTTTATGATGAAATTTTTGAAACGGGTTCAATATCTTTAATAAACAAACCTACAAGAGTAACGATAAATTCAGCAACTCTAGTAGATAATATAATAACTTCAGATATTTTCAACAATGATTTAAAAGTAGGTATTTTGCGAACCGATATATCAGATCATTTCCCTATATTCCCAAAATTAGATAATACAAACTCTGAAAAAACTTTAACCGCACAAAGAGTAATTCGAAAACGCATTTATAATGAGGCTAACCTTAATTTATTCAAAAATCAACTTTCATTACTACACTGGAATAACATAAATTTTAATGATAATGCTAACAATATCTATGAGTCTTTTTTCAAAACATTTTTTTCTGTATACGATGCTAATTTTTAATCATTGAAAATAAAATAACTACTAAGAGCTGCAATACACCCTGGATCACTAAGGGCTTTAAAAAATCGTCCAAAATTAAACAAAAACTATATATAAGTTTTTTGAAAACAAAAACACCTAAAAACGAAAAAATTTACAAGGACTACAAAAATCTATTTGAAAAAATTTGCAAAAATCTAAAAAAAAATTATTACTCCTAATTACTCAATACATTTAAAAATGACACAAAACGCACATGACAAATAATGAATGAAATTATTGGAAAACAAAAATCATGCTCAGGTTTTCTGCCACAAATGGTTAGAGTCGATAACAAAAGTTTATACGAACCAAGAACTATAGCTCAAGAATTTAACAAATTATTTATTGATATAGGTCCAACACTTTCTAAACAAATCCCAAAGACCAAATCTTTATTTACTGATTTTCTAGTACCCAATGATAATTGCATTGGTTCAGTTGAGTTATCTTCTGAATTATTGTTTGAAGAATTTGAAAGAGCCTTCAAATCTTTAAAAAAATAAAGCAATTGGAGCAGATCAAATAAATGGAAACGTTATTATAGATTGTTTTGGACGGGTAAAAGTTGTTCTTTTTGGAGTTTTTAAGGCTTCTGTCCGTCGGGGTGTTTTCCCCGAACTGTTGGAAATTGCCAAAATTATTCCTATTTTTAAAGAAGGGGACAAATCAATTATTAGTAACTATCGCCCTATTTCTGTTCTTTCCACATTTTCAAAAATTTTAGAAAGAATTATATATAACAGAGTATACAAATATTTTCATGTTAATAGATTACTTTACTTTAATCAATTCGGTTTTAAAAAGGATAGCTCAACTGGACATGCAATTATCCAATTTGTACGTGAAATCTCAAAATCATTTGAAAAATCACAATATACTCTAGGACTTTTTATTGATCTATCAAAAGCTTTTGATACGGTTGATCACCAAATTCTAATCTATAAACCTAAACACTATGGAATAAAAAATAAAGTTTTAAAATGGTTTAAAAGCTATTTGTCAAATTGTAAACAATTTGTTCCGAGTAATGACGGTTATCATACCAATTGTCTTTCTATAACATGTGGAGTCCCACAAGGCTCAATTCTTGGTCCAATCCATTTCCTAATTTATATTAATGATTTAAATAAAGCCTCTAAACTAACAAGTATTATGTTTGCAGATGATACTAACTTATTTCTTTCTAACAGTGATATCTTTGAACTTTTAAAAACAATGAACAAAGAGCTTATACATGTATCGAGTTGGTTTAAATGTAATAAGTTAACTCTAAACTCTAATAAAACAAAGTGGACCTTATTCCATTCGCTTTCCAAAAAACGGTATTTGCCATTAAACTTACCTAAAATTTTTATTGATCAAAATGAAATAAAAAGGGATTCCGTAACAAAATTTTTAGATATTTATCTTGATGAAAACATCACTTGGAATCAACATATCGACTACATAAGCACTAAAATTTCAAAAAACATAGGAGTTTTATACAAAGCACGAATCTACCTCAATAAAAAAATTTTAATTAAACTTTATTATTCATTTATACACAGTTATTTAAATTATGCTAATATCGCCTGGGGTAGTACAGAAAAAAGTAAGTTGCAACGTCTTTATCGCCGTCAGAAACATGCTATCCGTTTAATCTGCTTTGCAAATCGCTTTTCTCACGCAAAACATTATTTTATTGAAATGAGAATTTTAAATATATACGAGCTAAATATATATAATGTTTTAAGCTTTGTATACATGTGGAAAAATGACTTGTCTCAATCTGTCTTCAAAGATATTTTTACTCCGAAACCCATCAACAAATACAATTTGAGAAATACTGATTTTTTAAATGAACTTTTCTGTCAAACGAACTTTAATCAATTTTGTATTGCCTATCGGGCACCACACCTTTGGAATAAAATTGTTTTGCCCAATTTTGATTTCGAACTACCCATTACTTTTCGTTTTTTTAAAAGTAAATTAAAAACCCTAATTTTTTCATTAGAAGACGTATTATGTTATTATTAATAATATAAATTAATAACTTTGCCTTTTCTTATTTATATTTGTAAAAAGTTTATTCTTACTTATTTTGTTGATTTTATATTCTTTACTTAACGTATGCGTTTATATAAAATATTGGTGAGTAGATCCGCGTGATCTCTCTTTGGATTATATAATATATATTTGGATTATATATATATGAAATTTGTAAAAATTTGATACTGTTAATGCTTGTTTGAACTTATTTAAGGTTCTGACGACAAGATCCTTTGATCTTCTTTCAGATACCTTATTTTATATTTGTGAAAGTTTATTATTATTATTTTTTTTTTGGCAATATATAGTTGTAATACGACCAACAAATGTAAAATTAAAAAAAAAAAAAAAAAGAAATTAAGTCATTTTTTTGCTTTAACAATTTCTACTCTGCCGTCATACATTACAGATTTGCATGTAATTGGATTGTATTGGATTGAAAACTAATGTAGCACAAAAATATTTTTAAATGACTAAACATCTAAACAATTCAAACTTAACTTATTGTTTGTGCTAAATTGATTAATAACTCAATAAAAAAATAAGGAAAAAACAAATATCACAATAAAAAATAAAGGAATAAGTATATATGATTCCACAATGGGCCAGGCACATTAATGCTTCATTAAAGGTCAACTTGCTGACGTAGGCCTTAACAACTCACCTACTTTGCCGTTACAGCGTCGACTTATTTGGAGCCGAGCAAACTACGCAGCAATATCCTCACACATTGCAGCTGTTGTTTGGTAAACAAACTTCAATGGTCTAAATGAAAACAATAACTACCAGCTCCTAGTTAACATGTATAATGAAGTCATCAAACTATACATCCCATCAACAACTACCTCTTTTACTGAGAAACAGGAGCAATGGGTAGCACTAGATTTTATTATGGTGGTCAAGGCTAAACGCGTCTCTTGGACCAAGTACATTAATGCAGGCCGCGATACGCACAAACTAAATGCATCAAACTACCAGTCTATCTTGCTAACATCCATTCCATGCAAAATGATGGAAAGTATTTTTTAAACGAGCATAATGGAACACTGTGTTGCTAATGGCTTAACTACTCCAAAGCAGCGTGGCTTTATTCATTCAAAGTGTTGTATCTCAAACCTGTAAAAAACTCGGGAAATCATGATCGGGATATCAGTTCATTGTAGCCACGCAGTAGACGTCAAATACACAGACTTTGCGAAGACGTTTGACGAATTGCCACATAAACCCCTTCTTCATAAGTTTAAAGCCTACGGTATTCAAGGCGCACTTAAAGACTGGATCTTAGCTTAGTTAGCAACCAAAGTTAACAAGTGGTCACAGTGGCGGATTAAGACTTTTTGGGGCCCGGGGCTATTTTTGTTTTTGGAGGCCTTTTTATGGGGCAGAACCTAAAAATGACTTAAAAAAAAATATGCCTCTAAAATTTTTGGGGGCCCCTAAATTTGCGGGGCCCGGGGCTATAGTCCCTCTTGTTGATGACCACTCACTGCCCCACCTTAATCCGGCATTGAGTGGTCATCAACAACATCATATATGTGTGGCAAACGGTCGTTAGTGGCGTGCTTCAAGTCTCAGTCTTGGGCCCATTTTTCTTCCTAATCCTCATTAATGACCTGCCGGACAGCATCACACATCATATAAAATTGCATGCTGACAACAGTAAAATTATTGGCATAATTAAAAGAGTTGGATAGCATCACTCTCCAAGCTGACACTGACAGAGCAGTGGAGTTAAAACATATTTAGTTCTTGCATTTCATTATTGAGAAATGCAAATTAATGCATGTTGACTGCGCGTGTAACAAGTTGACGCGCGAATAATTAATGGCCAACATCGACGGCACGCGTTATTCACCTAAAAAGACTGAAGTCGAACAAGACCTTGATGTGATGGTTTCCAATGATCTAAACATCAAATCACAAGTAGTGTCAGCCGCACAAATAACGAATAGAAGCCTAGGCGACTCAAAAAAATATTTTGCAGTTGCAGTTTTTATTTATGGCGTACACTGTATCTTATTTAAATTCGCTCTCACTTTGAGTTTGCTGTTCAAGCT